TTATAAAGTGACTAAGCGTAAAAATGACACAATTTTATCTGGGGGCACGGCAGTGCCCCCCCCCCCCCCCCCACATGTCGAGCAAAAAAGCAGCACGGCCGTACCAACCTTTTCTCGAAGCAGTTCAGGCCATTTTATATAACTTCGGCCCCTATAACTTCGTTGTGGATAAAACTAGAAACCTGAATTTTCAGTAACCAAGCAGGCATTGTATAGACACAGTAGTTTAAGAATTATAACTTGTCAAAGTTCCTTAATTTTGTCAGTCACTGACTGACCGATCATCAAAACTCTAAGGCACTTCTAGCAGATATAGAAGCTTCAAATTTAGAACACAATTAGTGTTTGGTCCAGTTTTCTAGAAACATCAACTGCATAATTAACTTTGTAATCCCATACAAATATATAGGATTACAAAGTTACATTTGCAGGGAATAAATCAATGTACCTGTATATGTATAATATAAAGGAATAATAGGTGTAGATAGGTACCTAGATATAACTATCTACAAAAAGAAATGAGATACCGTCAAAAACATAACTTGTAAAAAAAAACAAGTCTCGCAACGCAGTTCTTCTACCGTAAAAAGTTGTGAGATCCATGTAATACCATAAGAGGGGGAGGGTAGCGTATCTTGTTTTAAACCTAATTGAAAAATATACTGTAAAAGTTGTACAAGTTTACGCACCAACGTCGACACACTCGGACGATGATGTTGAAGCTGTGTATGAAGACATAGCGAATGCTTTACACAACACCACTAAAACCCACTTTAATGTCGTAATAGGGGACCTTAACGCCAAAGTTGTGAAGCATACAGGTGTGGAATCAATAAAGAGAACGCACAGTTTGGGAAGCAGAAACCACAGGGGGCAAATGATGAACAACTTCCTCGAAAAGGAGAGGCTTATTCTAATGAATACTTATTTTAAAAAAGCACCAAAGGAAGTGGACCTGGCGCAGCCCCGATAACATGACGAAAATGACATCGACTTCATCATGATAGACAAAAAGTACATATTGAGAGATGTCTCAGTGATCAATAAGTTTAATACAAGAAGTTATCACCGACTTGTTCGGGGCACTCTGAATATCGATATCAAGATTGAAAGAGCCCGTCTGATGAAGTCCACGCTCTGACCAAATGCTTTTCAAACCATAGCGGTGTACCAACGATTGGAGTTGGAACTCCAGAATCGATTCGCAGCCCTAAAACCTACATTGGACATTGAAGAGGATCTCACTAATGTGGTCATGATCTTAAGGGATGAGGGGAATAGGTTGTGTAGTAGGCAACATATAGGCCAGAAGTCTAAGCTCTCAGATGAGACACTTTAACTTATGCAAAAGAGGCGTGAGGAAATAACAGCCGCGCCATCAGAACAGCTGGCACTCACCAGAATCGTAAGGAAAGCTGTACGGCGGGAACTGTGTCGCTCCAATGCAAACTTTATTCAAGAGGCAATAGAGCGAAACAACACCACAGGCTCGATGTCCGTCGAAGTGCAGGGTGGTCTTACAAAACCTATCCAGTTGCATCGTGGAGTAAGACAGGGGGACACAATATTCCCAAAACTGTTCACAAATGCACTGGAAGATGTATTTAAGACGCTAACTGAAATGGACGCGGCGTCAATACAAATGGCGAACACATCTCTCACTTACGCTTTGCCGATGATGTCGTCGTCATGGCAGAATCGCTGCAGGAACTACTAAACATGCTTAGCACCCTTAATGAATCCTCCCAATATGTCGGACTGCGTATGAATTTAAATAAGACGAAAGTCATGTTATCATAACTGTCATACCAGATTAGATTATCATTGGTGGTGAGATTCTTGAAGTTGTTCAAGACTATATTTATCTCGGCCAGATAGTGCAGTTAGAGAGAATCAACTTCGAGAAAGAAGCCGACAGGCGGATTCAGTTGGGCTGGGCAGCATTCGGGAAGCTTCGACAGGTTTTCACGTCGCCCATACCGCAAAGCTTGAAGACGAAAGTCTTTGACCAGTGCGTCCTGCCTGTACTCACATATAGTGCCGAAACACTAACGGTACGACTACTTCACAAACTCAACGTCATTCAGCGGACGATAGAAAGAGCTATACTCGGAGTTTCTCTGGTGGATAACATTCGTAACGAAGAAATCTGCGAGAGATTGAAGGTCACTAACGTAGCCTTCGGTATTTGCAGGCTGACGTGACAATGTGTGAGTGAGTGATATTAAAGGTTCAAACCACGATACATTGTACTTTGCTCGATCAAAACAAAATATGCAACAGTGTCAACTTTAAAACCATTTTTCATTTTAGATCGTAATTACACCACAAAATTATAGTAAAATTTTAACATGTACTTAAAGTGATTGTAGTAAAAAGTGATTTTAATGGATAATTTTTTGAAAATCAATAGTTAATTAACAAAAATATTAAAATAGTAAAACGGGTAAGTGTAACGGCTTAGTGTACAGCCGAACGTCGTTAAGGTTGGACCTGTGTCAAGTTTTTTTAGATGACATATAAAAATAAGATATAAAAGAAGGTTGGGCAAATCGTACCAGACGACGAAACGATGGCGTCACTAAATGCCATATTTATGAAAAATACCCTTATTTTATAAAGTCTTCAAAAACACAAAAAATACCTCTCTAAGTAGCCACAAAAAAAGTTATCCATTTATTTTTGTTTTTGTAAATGTTCCGAAATTATTTAAAATAATGGTTTCAGAACACACAGGAACGCACGTAATGACGATTCATTTCGCGTACGAAAGGAATTTGTATTCAAACACTATAATTATTTACGTTTTTCTGAATAATTATTAATTGTAATTCAATTCAATTAGTATGTAGGCATCAAATCAACTACTATACTGTTTTATTATGTACTGGATTCATGTCATAAAAATAATTATGTAGCTTCATAGTAAGCTAAGCGTTTGTTCAATTACGAACAACGGAATGTCATTTGTCATCGACAAGTTACATAATCTGTGGTCATCGGTCGACGTTATTGATTGTCACCCGGCATTAATTCGCATCATCTTATTTGCTTCACTCGTTGATGTGGATTGTGATACTGATGATAATGATCTCAAAGAAATCGAAATAAATGGAAACGAGATTACTAATTACCCTCCTCGCTTATCTCTTACTACACTTTTAGGCTACGTAGCAATGGGATAAAAGGTAGTTGTTTATGTTAACCCCAAAAGTATTGTTGACGTTATTATAAAACATTGTGGCTATTTAGATATGATTTTAAAACGGGGTGGTGTTTACAACATAAAAACAAACCAACTAGCTATAGTTTGTTTTGGGACATGAAAAATAAAAGTCAAGTCCAGCTCCTATAGGAATTTGGCCATTGTTCTTTGAGAAACAAAAATCATCTTGTGACCACATTAACACAAAGATTCAAGATCGCCCCCGCCATTACATCAGATTTGATAGACCACAAATCCTCGCAAAAGAACACCGATTCCTACCAAGGATGATACGCGAGGCTATTGAAATTAAAAAACATCCTAATTTCAATAGAAAAGATGGATCGGTGCTGCCATCTGCTTGGGATCCTATAATTAACAAAATTAAATCCAAACCCAAGCATACCACTGCTAGACTTCAAGATACTGTAAGTTCATTCTGCGTAAATCGAACCAAAAATTTATATTAAAAAACTGAAGGTAGTCGGGCTAACTGTGACATCGGGACGTCAAACATCTCAGTCCCCCCCGTGACCATGGATTGCTGTAAAGCACCCGAAACGTCGGGAATTAAAATAGTAAAATTAATAATAAAATCCGTAAAAAATTGCTTTATTCAAAGTGTAGTTTTCGCGTAAATATAAGAAATCATTACATTAACACTATTATTCTAAGTAAATCAGTACGACCATTATTGTTCCCGATAATGTATTTCTATGAAGATTTTGTAACAGTGAAAGCGTACAGTACGAACATTAATGTAACCGAAGATATGTTTAAGTTATTTTAATAAGTCAATGTGAATAAATAAAACAGACCTTATTGATTATAGTGCATCAATTCCTCGCTCTGAGAAAGGTACCTTGGCTCATAAAAATGCACAGATGAACAGTAATTACCCAACGGGCATTGATTGAGCATATGCAAATTGATTTTATTTCCGTGCAAGTCATAGACATACACCTAGATTATTAGACATACATAGTTTGTTTTGCTAATATCGATTATTTTGTCACTTCACAAAGGTGTAAAACGTCACTTCGACTTTGTAATTTCTTTTTCAGAGAGATGGAACAAATTCAACAAAACTTTGAAGCTGATATATCTGAAAACTCCAAATCAAATCAAATCTGTTTATTTTGTGAACATAGGTTAATTTACAGATCTCGATATGTACATTATAAAATATTAGTTAGGTTCTTTATATCCTGCCAGTAGGCATACAAAATATAAAATTAATAAGTTCATCATTAATTAATAACATTCATAATTTTTTTCTCTTCTGATGTCAGGTTCTAATTGAGTCATCTAATATCAAAGGCGGCAATATCCATTTCGTTGAATTTTGTGTAAAGTGATAAAAACGTATTTTGTGAAATTTATTTATCCCTTAACTTAGATATTTTTTAAATATGGAATGTACAATGAGAATGATCATTTTACTCTGTTTTATTAAACATATATTGCCTTTTTAAAGCAGAATTCATAAATAACCGTTGGAGATTGCCGACTTTGTTTGAAAGTTTCGAATATTGCCTTGTTTGTTTTAGACAGGCATGGAGATAGCCATGTTTGTTATCGATGATCACCATAATGTATCTGGTCACCACAATCTTGATATTTGAAGTAAAAATTTAAAATAATAGCCGTAGTAATAATCAAACTCTTTTTTATTACTTATCAATCTTGAATGGCACTTTACGTAAAACTTCAACAAAATAAACAATCATACAATTAAAAAAAAAACAAGTATTATTATCCTTAGGTAAACTTCAGAAAATCAAGTACTCTTAAACTATAGACATCTTTCCTCGACTTGCAATTCACAAGTAATTTCTTGTGATGCATCTTCCTCTTCTTCTATGAGTAATTTTGCAGGTTTGATTCTCACAATGTTTTGAGTAATCACTTCAGGATTCAAATCAGAGGCCTTTTTATTTTTACGAGTTATTTTCTTCAATACACCCAAATTATTAGTATAGTGCACTTCCCCTTGAATTACAACATTACCAATTTCTTTTGACCGCTGTATTAAAAATCTTTTACAATGTTTAAATTGGAAGTGCCAAGAGCCGACATCCTTTATAACTGAACTCATTCCACTCTTAAAGTTTAGGACTTCACAATCAGAACCCATACGAACTATCGTGCTATAAGTGCCTATAATCTCAAGGTAATCCTCCGGTCTTAATATACATTCCAACTTTCTCACATCCTTTTCCACATGAGCAAATACGTGGTCCGGTGGAATGAATGAGTGTCCTACGATAGGAAAAACTATTTCAATTATTTTCACGTGATCCGGTGCTGAACTACTTAACCACTTCGAACACATCGCTATCATTATCGAGTTTTTATCAATCTGATCGTACTTATATCTGTCAAATTCGTGTTCATCAGTCTGTGAAGCGATTGCGTTAGCTCCTTTGGCATATTGGTCTTCGGTCCAACAGTAGGCGAGTACATTTTTTGTTGTCAGAGGAGCCTTTGATGAACCTTCTACTATAGTACAGTTATATAAGTAGATAAAACTGTCTGGAATAATAAGTTATCTGATCAGGTGTTTTTGGTAATGGTAGATTTTTTTCACAATCAAATGAGAATGTTTTTAAATTGGGTCTTTCTTCTCTTACTAAATTAAAAAATGCTTTAGCTTTAAGTTTGTGAACCCTATGTTCTACCATAAATCGTTGCTTTTGTGCCTCATCTGATTCTCTTTTAATTTTTTCTAGAAGTAGAATACATGTCGAGCATACATCTATTCTAGGACTGCCAAAACCGAGGTTATAGTTGTTATTGAAAATTTTTCTGAACAGAACTTTTTTGACTTTTGAATTTGCTTCAAGATTTGGCTGTTTGTTGTACATTTTCCACATTTTGTTAATTGAAAGTTCTGCAGGTAAATATCTTCGTTCAGAATGTCCCCTACAGTAATGTGCTTCGTCAACGTGAAACATATTTGTGAAAAGCATTACAGCATTTTTTTTCTCTGTGAATAAATGGGACTTGTGGTCACCGCCTCTTTTTTCTTTTACTGCTTGTCCACCCGATTCCACAAACTTTTTAACAATATACTGTACTCGACGTTTAGTAATGTTTAAAATTCCGAGGAACGCTTTCTGACATATTTTTTTTTTTTCTGTGAGACACTGTAAATGCTCTAATTTGTATGAATGGTTTTCGGATGATGTTTCTTATATTTAGGTCTTTTTCTCTTGGGAATTACAGGGACGCAGTATTTTAGAAGAAAAGCATCTTGTGTTTCATTGTTGAGATATTAAAATGCCGCATGAAAGTTCATCACGTCTCGCATAGTTATTGACTCGCATTTATAAACACCCTTCCGGAGGTGTTGACATCTGGGTCTATTTGGACTTTCCTTAGGGGAATATCTGTAACAAAAGCACATAAAATAAATAACTTGGCACAACTTGGTACAACGTGGTAAAATTTGGCACTACTCACTACGCTCGTGATTCTATTTAGATTGTCTATATCGTTAGCTCGGAATTTAAAATCAGCACTCGTACTAAAATGTTATCTATTCGATCTGTAACAAATAACTATTGGAACAAAACTTGACAATAATAGATTTTAAAAGAAAATATCTGGCAATGAAATCCCATACAACTTTGCTTATTCGAATATCGTATTAATGCAGACTTTGCTCAAAGAAAGTTTTAAAATTATGACCAAATTACATGCACTTTTGAATAACACTGATTTCAAAAAAAAATTCATGCTAATAAAATCAAGTATCAAATCTGTGCCATCTGTGTGTACTTACCGCTGCCGTTTAGCTATGTTTTGTTTCCAGTTTTCTGGATGAGCCGTACGTTTTCTGGTCTTCCCCGATGTACTCGGCGATGCTAGACACTCCATAATTACAATTTTAACCAAAGTTTTTAGAAAAAAATACAGTATTCATTAGAAAACAATAAAAACACTAACACTATTTCACGAGCGTTAACAACCTCAACGCTTATGAAATTCTGCGCTCTGATTGGTCCACATGGATGTTGCCATCTTTGATTTGAACGGTACAGGATAATGCCGGGTTTGTTACGAGCTCCAAACTTTGAGCTCCATTTTCTATGGGATAATGCCGTAATTGATGCGTAATGTAGATTTCCTTACAAAACTACGTCCACAGACAATAAAACTACATTCATAGTTAAATTTTGACCTGGAGTGGATATTGCCGCCTTTGTTATTAGATGACTCAATTGAAATCATTATATAATATATTAATAATTATGAAATTAAAGGTATAGTGTACATACAATAATTGTTATCATTTTGTCTTATTGTCATTTAGTATTATTTGGTACATATCATGATAGTTATGTAGTCAATGCAGTATAATAAAATAATATTTGCTAATTACGGATGCAAATTGGTGCTATTGTTTACAAATACATCAATTTGAGTCTTCCACGACATATTGTTGAATTTATACGAGTATGTAGTCCCGAAAATTTCCATTTTTAACACTATATCCCATAGAATGGAAAGCCGACCTATATACATTATGGTTCATAGTAATTTTCTAAGTCTCGATATGATGTGATCTTCGTAGCCGACAACTATATATATATATATATATATATATATATATATATATATATATATATATATATATATATATATATATATATATATATATATATAAGTATTAGAAAGAGTAGATAACATTAAGTATTTGGGTATCCACATTGACAGTATTCTAGAGTACTCATGTTGCACAACTTACTGGTCGTATCAGAAAACTCATATACATCTTTAAAACTTTAAGAAAAGTAGCTGATAAACACACATATATATATATATATATATATATGTAATAAATAAAATATATATATATATATATATATATATATATTTATTTATTTTTTATTTATTTAAGCTTTATTTGCACACATACAAGAAATGTACAAAACGGCGGACTTATATAACAACTTACTTAATAATATATATTCCGATGATATCCCGGACGTCAGTCTGAGCGAGATTAGAATGACTCTCCAGCACCTTAAAAACGGCAAGGCCCCAGGCAAGGATGCAATTACAGCGGAGCTTCTGAAAGCGGGTGGAAAACCGGTACTTGAAGTCCTTCAGAAGCTCTTTAATTCCGTCCTCCATGGTGGCATTACACCGGAGGCGTGGAGCAGAAGTGCGGTGATCTTGTTCTTCAAGAAAGGCGACAACGTTCTCTTGAAGAACTACAGACCGATTTCCCTTCTAAGCCGCGTCTACGTGCTGTTTTCGAGAGTCATTACGAATCGTCTCGCGCGCAGACTTGACGACTTCCAGCCTCCCGAACAAGCCGGTTTCTGAAAAGGCTTTAGCACCATAGACCACATACATACCCTTCGACAAATTATACAAAAGTCAAAGGAGTACAATTTGCCACTATGTCTGGCGTATGTGGACTATGAGAAAGCTTTTGATTCCGTCGAAATTTGGGCGGTGCTGCAGTCCCTTCAGCGGTGCCAAGTGGACTCTTGGTATATCGAAGTACTGAAGTGCTTGTACAGTAGGGCTAAGATGGCTATCTGAGTACAGAACCAGAGTACGAAACCTATCCAATTGCAGAGAGGTATAAGACAGGGTGACGTTATATCCCCGAAACTCTTCACCGCTGCATTGGAAGACGTTTTCAAGCTTCTGGACTGGAAAGGATACGGTATCAACATAAATGGCGAGTACATCACTCACCTTCGATTTGCCGACGATATAGTCCTTATGGCAGAATCGCTGGAGGATCTAAGCACTTTGCTCAATGACCTCAATAGTGCTTCCCAACGGATAGGTCTTAAGATGAACATGGACAAAACAAAGATCATGTTTAATGTCCATGTCACACCTATGCCGGTAGTTGTTGGGAGCACTAAACTCGAAGTTGTTGACGAGTATGTTTACCTGGGACAAATAGTCCGACTAGGTAAGTCCAACTTCGACCGAGAGGTCAATCGACGGATTCAACTCGGTTGGGCAGCGTTCGGGAAATTACGGCACATCTTCTCGTCAGGTATACCTCAAAACTTGAAAACGAGACTGTACAACCAGTGCGTGTTGCCAGTGATGACATACGGAACTGAGACGTGGTCCTTCACTGCTGGCCGGATGAGGAAGCTCAAGGTCGCTCAGCGAGCTATGGAGAGGGCTATGCTCGGAGTTTCTCTGCGTGATAAACTCAGAAATGAGGATATCCGCAGTAGAACCAGAGTGACCGAGCAGCATCATGCATCAGCAGTGGACTTGTAAAGTGCTGTAATGATGATGATGATTAAATATGATATACAGTGCCCTATATCAATCGCTTCTTGTTTATTGCATTCCGGTTTGGGGTGTTGCTAAGAAAACATTTCTAATATTTTTGGAAAGAGCTGAACTGGCAATTTTAAAAATTATATATTTTGATCCAATTTTATACAACACATCGATGTTATACGCCAATTCTAAAATGTTATAAGTCAGGCAACTCTACATCTTACGTGTTATTTTAAGAAAACACACGGAAACGCCCCTTGATTCAGAGGTTTTACGCAAACTACGTGTTTAAGACTGACATTTAAAGAAAGTCACATGTTAAAAAACGTTTTTTCATAGTATATCGTTCGTATATTCGCTTAATAAATTTAAAGCAATAGTAAACTTAAATATTGCCTACAGTGTTTCACATATGAAGAAACTGAAGACTGTATGTGAAGCTAAACGTACGTAAACGTAAGCAGCGTAGGGAGGCGATTGTATCTATGAAAGGCTCATGTAGAGCTTTGTAGAATCTCCCGTGGAGCTCCTTCTCCTTCCACACGGTCTCGCGGTCGGAAATGCAATGTACTGCTGGCTCGTTCGTCGGAGTAAGCCCTTTATCACATGAAATGACGTCCCTGTAGAATGAATCATCCCATCTCGCCAGAAAGTAATTACGGAGGCTGTACATTTCACGATTATGCATGGTGAGAGCGCTCATAAAGCCGCGCCCAACATGTTTCCGCGGCAAGTAGAGCCTCATTACTGACGATCTCGGATGGTACATCCTGTGGGACGTCATAACAGACTTTTCTATCCATAGCGTTCAGTTCGGTGTGAGTCTACATGAATATACCGAATTTTACTCTGGTATTCTGTGACGTATGTGTTGTTCGACATATGGCTAACATGCGATACGGATAACGGTAATGGGTCCTAGTAGGAATGGCCATAAAGAATAATTGCTTTGTGAGTTTCAAGATGTTATATTTTAAAGTGTTATAAGTATTTTAAAGTGTAAGTCTATGCGGTCGGAGCTAAGTTCTGCAAGACCCGTCGCAGAAGAACACAAAAACTCTCCGATCACACTCTTAATCTTATGGCTGTTAGACGGGAGATGAAGCTACATTCTTCAACAGATTTGACAGCATACAGGCAACTGAACAGACAGATCTCCAAATGCATGCGGTGGGACTTACGCAACTTCAATACAGCTTGTATTGAAGAAGCGATCGAGCGGAACCAAGGCTCCAAAGTCTTTGCCAGAGATCTGCCTGCCAGAAAGAGCCAACTGTCAAAGCTGAAGACCGAAACTATGCACTGAACTGAACTATATACTGAAACGTGGCAGAATCGTTTCCGGGACACCTGAGATTTTGAGTGAGATTGAGAGGTTCTATGGGCAGCTGTACACGTCATCGTTGAAGCCACACGCAAGTGTGAGTAACGATCCAAGAGCGAGTCTTATCCGACACTAACTCGAAGATATCCCCGACGTCAGTCTGAGCGAGATTAGAATGGCTCTCCAGCACCTTAAAAACGGTAAGGCCCCAGGCGAGGATGGAATTACAGCGGAGCTTCTGAAAGCGGGTGGAAGACCGGTACTTGAAGTCCTTCAGAAGCTCTTTAATTCCGTCCTCCATGGTGGCATTACACCGGAGGCGTGGAGCAGAAGTGCGGTGGTCTTGTTCTTCAAGAAAGGTGACAACGCTCTCTTGAAGAACTACAGACCGATTTCTCTTCTGAGCCGCGTCTACGTGCTGTTTTCGAGAGTCATTACGAATCGTCTCGCACGCAGACTTGACGACTTCCAGCCTCCCGAACAAGCCAGTTTCCGAAAAGGCTTTAGTACCATAGAATACATACATACCCTGCGGCAGATTGTACAGAAAACAGATGAGTATAATCTGCCTCTTTGCCTTGCGTATGTGGACTATGAGAAAGCCTTTAATTTCGTCGAAATTTGGGCGGTGCTGCAGTCCCTTCAGCGGTGCCAAGTTGACTGTCAGTAAATCGAAGTGCTGAAGTGTTTATACAGTAGAGCTACGATGGCTATCCGAGTACAGAATCAGAGTACGAAACCTATCCAACTGCAGAGAGGTGTAAGACAGGTTGACGTTATATTCCCGAAACTCTTCACCGCGGCATTGGAAGATGTTTTCAAGCTACTGGACTGGAAACGATGCGGTATTAACATCAATGGCGAGTACATCACTCACCTTCGATTTGCCGACGATATAGTCCTTATGGCAGAATCGCTGGAGGACCTAAGCACTATGCTCAATGACCTCAATAGTGTCTCCCAACGGATAGGTCTTAAAATGAACATGAAGAAAACAAAAATCATGTTTAACGTCCATGTCACACCCATGCCGGTAGTTGTTTGGGAGCACTAAGCTCGAAGTTGTTGACGAGTATGTGTACCTGGGACAAATAGTCCGACTAGGTAAGTCCAACTTTGAGGGCTATGCTCGGAGTTTCTCTGCGTGATAAACTTAGGAAGGAGAACCAGAGTAACCGACATAGCCCAACAGATTAGTAAGCTGAAGTGGCAGTGGGCCGGCCATATAGCTCGAAGAACCGACAACCGATGGGGAAGAAAGGTTCTCGAGTCGAAGTGTAGCGCG